CGAATTCGACAAAAATTGATTTTCTGGCTTTATTAGGCATCAAAACGCATCAAACCCTAATAGAAATTTGTTTCTAAATGCCTCAGGAACCATACTACGTCGTCAAAGTGCCGAAATATTGCACTTTGCAAGCGCAGTAGAATTGACATAGGCGGCTCATCTACGTATCGCAATGTTGACATAAAATAATTAATTACTCATTACCCAAACATTATTTATGAACTTTTATGATCGAACAATGTAAATAATGCATTGCTGACCACTCTTCAATCTTTCACCATTCTTTAATTATAAAGGTTCGTAGACTGGGCTCAGAAATTGAGTAATTAACTATTCTGCATACTGATTATCGTGTATATTCCTCCTGCGCGCCACCCGCGCATGCCACGAAGGAATAGTCACTGAAAAACCATATCCCTGTAGACTTTAATGCAAAATTGAATTTGCTCGCGCCTATGTACTTGACTTTTCAACTTTTTTGTCCACATTTTTCGTCCACGTTTTTCTCTTGCACCACTCAACCAATTCAACCGGATATCACGGTTGACTATTTTTGCTTTAGCGTGAAATTTACTCGCTCGCTCAACATTGTTAGGTTAGGCGCGCAGCGCCTCAATCAAACAGACCTAGTATAGAAAATATTTTAAAAATGTCTCGTTCGACCAAAATCATTCTCACATTTGTATCTTTTTGAAAAAAGGAACTTGTTTGTAAAATTTAGCCAGAATTGGAACATGACATTTTGTTTTCCTGCTCTATCGACAGTGCTATTATCTTATTCTCATATATACCGATAATGTCGCATTTTATATTTTGTTCATGCTGTTGCATAATTGACATTCTTAGAATTTCTAGTTCCGTGGTGTTTTGATCATCATTATTGCGTGTACACATAACCTCTGATTAAAATTCAACTGCTCGAGGATAATATACAGGTCCGGTTGCTAGGATTATTGATAACTATTCAGCAGGAGAAATTCAATTATAATAAACTGTAATTAAAATGTTTCATTCTGGTAAAAATTTTGTTCTTTCACAACCAGAAACCATGAAGTCAAAAAAATGGATACTTCCTTTGAGTATTCTTTAATAATCTCAATATTTAATATATGCGGTTTTATAATAAATGTATGATATGCATAGAAATGAAGGTGTTCAGCATTCATTTAAAAGATAAAAACTACTTGATGTATAACCCTTACATTATTCTGTTGAAACGAAGACTGTGTTCTAGGTAATCTGTGTAGATTGGTGCACTTTATCTATGCAATTATTTTTCTGACAAGATGCTAGATACTAGAGCATTTTCGTATAAGAGATGTTTCATCGAAGCTGCTATAGCATTAGTATGTGTATTTGTTTTCTGCGAATATTTGATATATTATTTTGTGCTTATTCAGGTATGTTATACTAATGTTTGAATAAGCGGGAATATACAAAGTTTTTAAGTGATTGTTTTATAAATAGTGCTCATGGCCTAGTTTGGATCCACGTAAAATTGATGTAACAATTCCTCGAACAAAACCAGAAGAAACTCCTGTACATGCAATGTTTATTGCAGACACTCACTTATTAGGGTCCAGAAATGGACATTGGTTTGATAAGTTAAAAAGGTTTGTTTGTATAGAGTATTGAAGTTTTAAACATAATTTTCTTCTGTTGAGATAAATATTTTATGTTCATTTAGAGAATGGCAGATGTACAGAGCATTCCAAACTATGATTACACTTCATGAACCAGATATAATATTTATATTGGGTATGTAATGCTATAATTAAGTATTGAATAACAATAATAATGTTGTAATTATAATGTGTTAGGTGATATATTTGATGAAGGGCAATGGAGCAGTTCTACAGAATTTAATCAGTCTATACAAAGATTTCATTCAATATTTTCAGTACCTAAGAATACGTATCTCTATGTTGTTGCTGGCAATCATGATATTGGATTCCATTATGGTATTATAAGATATTAGATATTCTTATAATTAATAGGTCAGAATGTTTCATAAAGAGAAATATTTATTTAGCGATTACGCCATACTTGAATCAACGATTTGTAGACGGTTTGAAATCGTCGAGTGTAAAAAGAGTTAGTATAAGGGGGAATCATTTTGTTTTAATTAATAGTATGGCGCTAGAAGGAGATGGATGTTTTTTGTGTCGCCCTACAGAAATTGCATTAAACAAAATTGCTGGTAAGTTTGACCTATTATTGAAATAAACATTGTAAGAATCAAAGCTTACAAATGAATAGGTAAAATTTTTCAGCACATTTGAAGTGTGCAAAGGGTATGGCAAGTAATTGCGAGAAAAGTAATGTAATATCAAGATACAGTAGACCAATTATTTTACAGGTCAGTAAATGAATGAGTTTTAAAAGCATACAAATAATAATGTGATCTATAATATTTGACTAATAATTATAGCATTATCCAATGTATCGAGAGTCAGATGAAATTTGTAATGAACCCGACGAAGCACCGGAGGAAATAAAAAATATCAAGTTTAGGGAAAGATGGGAGTGTTTATCCAAGGAAGCATCTGAACAAGTATGCAATATAATTGTTCTAAATTTTTGTGTAATAGATATTTATCAAATATTCGTTTGTAGTTGTTAGATATATTGAATCCAAGACTGATTGTTGATGGACATACTCACCATGGTTGCAGAAGAATACATAGACAAGATATATTAGAGTTCACAATACCATCGTTTAGTTGGCGAAATAAAGACAATCCATCACTTTTACTAGTAAGTTATAAATTGATTATTATTATTATCATGCATATATTTAAAATAATAATGGTATTTTAGGGTGTGTTCACTCCTAATAATTATTCTGTATCAAAATGTTATATGCCTGTGGAGTCTACTGAAATTAAAATTTATATTATCAGCATAGTATGCATTTTTATATACTTTATTATAAAATGCAAGCTAAGACAAAGTCGATATTATTTCGTGAAATTTCACTAGAAATATTTCATTAATATATAGAAATAGAAGTCTTAAATTATCGACAGATTTACATGTACATGTAACAATATAAGTTTTTTTGTAGAACATTATAAACAGTACATATATTATTTACACTAACTGTAATATAAAATACTTATGTTGTAAATTATTATCATTATTATTACTATCACTATAACCAGGTCGAAATAACGTCATCAAGTTTTGGAAATATAGTTATTCACATTTTAGTTTTTCTTCGTTACTCTATCAATAAATGCTCTATCAGAACAAAAAAACATGTTTACAAATACATATAAAATATTACAAGAATATTAAAAATCACCTGAATGGTCACACTTCAATTATGAGATATATAAAATTTCTTCATATACTGTACATTTAATCAACATTAATGGTTTAATGTAAATGTTAAATGTCTCATAAAATATTATTATATTAAATACTTGCTAAATACTAATAGAAATAAAGATTGATGTGTATGCCAAAAGTAATATTATGTGTAAATGATGAATATTTCATGTGCAAAAATATTATATAAATAAGGAGTAAAATTTGTATCTAAATTTATCTAATTTTAAATAATGTAAATACTTTTATATTATTAACCGTACATTATATGTAATTAATACACGTACATGTATCAACAAATTTGTAGATAAAACTAGCAAAGCTGTCGTTTTTTATTGCAATAAAACAGTATAAACTAATATTATTAACTATGATACTTGGCACTGACTATACTTAATATTACATTTATCAATATCTTACATACATGTTTATTACAAAAAAAAGAGTAATATTAATATAGTCAATGCATATTTTATACTTCATTAAGTATAAACGTTTTTTTCTCTGAATTAAACGTATAACATAAGTACTTTTACAATAATGAAATGTCTGATTAAAATCTAATAAAAAATTAATCATGAATATCGCGTACTAAACAAGAATGAATAACATACGCTATTTTGTCAAATCACTATTTATGTTCATTATTTCTTGGTATAAAGTTTTATACATTTTTTTATAAATAGAACAACTTCACATACAATATTTAGAAAGAACGTTCAATAACTGTACTTACGTTTGAAAATTGAATCAATCTACTAAAATTGAAAGTAAACTATTTTATTTCTTTTTGGTTTTATATATTTAATTTAAAATAATTAAATATTTTTTTTAGCTTTGAAAAAATGTTATTTCCTTTTATTTTTTATCATTGACGGAGTCAATGATCATTTTGACTAGTCTATTTTCACAGCAGCATATATTTTTCGAATGAACGCGTATGCCGCGAAAAATCCTATTGTACCTGTTAACAACCAAAACGTGAGCACCATTAGTAATGTATAACCAAAATATAAAAGTGTCGGGACCAGTTCTGTGATTTCTAATTTTGTCATAAAGTAAAAGATTGAATAGGCTAGGACGTATACTGCTGATCCTCCACTAACAATAAAGCTTCTCCACCACCATCGATAATCCTAATAACAAATTAAAAATAACATAAATTTACATATTATGAAAGAAGCTTGAACTAAAGATTATAGGATACTTACTTCTCCACATAATTGAAAATAGACCATAACTATGGATAGCTGAGAACAGGAGATGACAAGAATACAGAAGACAAGGAACAAAAATCCAAAGAGATAGTAAAATTGATTTTCCCATAACGCAGTTAAAATGAAAAATAATTCTATAAAAACGGCGCCAAAAGGAAGAATTCCAGCCATGAGTGTACTGCAACAACATTGAAAAGAAAACAATAACACTTATATTTCATGTTCTTTGAAAAAATATTTTCAATGTAAATATAACTTACCATAATACAGGATTCATGTACCATAATTGATCTGGAACTTGTCTGGGAATTTGATTCGTTCTAACAGGATGTGTAAAGGGCTGTTTACGATATCCAAAGAAATATCCAAGATATACAAGAGGAAGTGATATTCCAAACCATAAACACAACAATGCTAACATTGTTGTAAATGGTACTGCGCCAGAACTATGCTTTCCCCATATAAAGAAATTTAAAAAGAAACAAGTGGTAAATACTATTCCTGGATAAAGCATTGCTGTCTGTAAAAATTAGAATATTAATATAGTGCATCAGTGTATTTTTAGAATATGTCAGTATTCTCTTTATTTTTACCAATAATGCTGTTCTTCTCCATTTTCGTCCTCTCATTGTTTTATAAAGACGCGCAGAAAAATATCCAGCAATTAAACCGGAAAATACGTACAAAAATATCGCACAAGTTCCAAGTGCACCTCTACTAGCAGGAGAGAGCATACCCAGCATAGCGAAGACTACAAGCATAAGTAATTCTAATATAAAATTGTAGATAATTCTATCGATCGAAGATATACGTCTTTATAGAGATGAACTCTTACAGATTGTTATTAAAGCCATGAAAAATATTTGAATTCCACTGCCTATTACAGCAGCAAATAATCGAGGATGTGGCGGAGGACGAAATACATCTCCATGAACTAATTTCCAACCAGTTTCTTCGATAGTTTCATCTAGGCCTGCTAAACTATCATTTTCACCAGCATTATAGCGTGCAATATCCCTTCTTAAAGTTCGAACCATGATCATTGTTAGAATCCCTACATTATTTTATCAGAAACCAGTGTCTGTGCGATTTAAAATAATTAAAAGAATTAAAAGCAAAAGTTATAATATGTATTTACCAGAAAGAAAAAGCACTACGATAAGAGAATTGATGATTGAAAACCAATGAATTTCAACATCGCTCATTCCTAGATATATGTCCCATCTGCTTGCCCAACTTACATCAGACTGTGTCCATTCCACAGAATATAAGAACAAAAGCTTCGTTCCTTTTGGATTAACAAATTGAGGATTTGCATGTGTAGGCAATATGCAAGTAGTTCCATCGAATTTCAGTTGACTTACATCAACTGATCGAGCTTCTACTTCGAATCCGACTACTCTAAATTCATTTCTGTAAAAATATAAAGAAACATGATTATAATTTAATACAGTTTCACTTCTACATACAGTAATAATAAGGTTACTAACTCTCCATATTTATGATAGCTCAGTTTTAACTTAAGATAATTGTTGATATAATATTGGTCATTCATAATACCGCCCAAACGATATCCATGGTATACAATCACATTATTCGTATCTTTGTGGATTTTTTTTGTTGCTGCTGGTAAATTATCGATTAATCTAAGGACAAATAAAAATTATTGCAATCATATACTTAATATAAGTTAAGATTTTCAAACATACTTACAAGTGTACAGTATAATCATGTTGAATGCGTTCTATAACACGTTGTGAATCTTCTTCATTCCACGTCATAAGATTAGATGGTCCATGACATAATAATCTACAGCTTTTATTTTCTGCCATTAGGACTTCGTATGGTGTATTCACAATTCTATGTAAAAATAAGTTGTATTATTTTCCAAAAATAATGTAAAACAAATTATTAAATCTTACCTATCACCGCGCAATACTTCTCCTAAGTTTTCAGATTTATAAATCAAAGTTCCATTTTTTGGTATACAAAAGGGAATAGAATAATATTCATATGGTAACTGTGTATGAGTACTGGTCATTTTAACTGCCTTAACATCGATCTTCTGCCCCTTTTTAAACTCCACAGGAGCAACACCCGGGACGTAAAAGCCATTTGTTTGAATCAATAAAGTTATTATTACAAATATAGAACTACTTCTTTTTAACCTTTCCTAAAAAAAGAAAGAACAGTATGTATTCATTAAACTTCATAACCATTACAGTTTGATGAATTAGTTTGGTTAATGTCTACATGAATGCAATAAAATTAAAATTAAAATGATCTATTTATATAAATGATACAAACATAAATATGTATGTATAATTATACAAATATATTTTATTCATTTCAACTAGTTATTGAATTCAACAATACTTTTATTCAGAACTATTTTGTTGCAAGTATGATAAACAGTGTCATTAACTTCTTAGTAAAACATAAAGTTGTCACAAATACTCAAATTACACATTTATATCGAAAAAGAAATACCACGTCAGTTTACTAAACATTTCTATTTTTCAACATTTCGCACCAATGTTTTACAAATACAATTATCGTGTAATAATACGTACCATCATACAATATTACTTATGTCAAAGGCGCGCCACGCCGTTACTCCTTACTTTATTCGTGTCTTGATTACTTCTCGCAAATCGCAGTTCCCACTCTGTTCACGTCAAAAATGAATTTACTTCAATATGAAGTTTGTGTTGAAACGTTTATAACAGCAACAGTAATTTCTTATAAAAGTCCCTAGAAAACTCATTTCTATTATTCGTTCAACGAAAGATCGTATTCACTTTGCGCATCGCAGCTAACTTTAGCAGTCTTCTCACCACTTGATGCTGCCTCATTACCACACGCTTTCCACTTCGTCGGTTATATACACGGTAAGCAAAATATACGAATAAGGAAAAAGACATTTATAAATACTTGATGATAGAAATTTGGAAATCATAGAATTTGGAAATTTAAAACTTTCTGAATTCGAAAGTATTAAGCTTTAGAAATTGAGGCCCTTAAAAATTTGAAAATTTGGAGATTTAAAAATTCGAATCACTGAGTATACAGGTTCGGTAGCAGTGCGTCGCAAGAGCGCATGCGCGTTACCCTTGGTTACTAAACAAGTTCAACCAATCAAAATTGACATGCGCAGAATGAACAAAATCTCGTTTTGAAATAAGAATGTTTAGATCAAATCAGTTGACTATTGAGCTCTGCTCAATATAGATTGAAGTTAGGCGCGGAGGACAAATTGAGTATGATTTTTCGCTGATCAAACAACAAATAGAACACATGTTATCCTTTATATCCTATATCATAACATTCAGTAGCAAAATCCTATAGAATAAAAACAATGTTCCACTGTATACATATACATATAACATTTGTTTTTTAAGAAACTTGTAATAAATTTAAAAATAAAGTTTATCCCTTGTACATGAGTCTTCGCTGACTATTTTACGCTTCATCTATTTACAATTAAGTTACCTATAACAAATTATGCACCAATTACTTAGTTTTACTTAAAATATTTATTATTATACATACGTCATAGATACTCCTTATTACATTCTTTCTTGAAGTTCCCGCAATTTTTTACACTTGAAAATAGAAAGGAAGTAATCTTTTATAAATACGAAATATTGTTTATTTACACGCTTATTTAACTTATTTCTCTATTAAAAATTCGTAGAATATTAAAATCATCATTCACGAATTAATACAACGCGATTTTTTATAAAAAATTAAAACATTTTTATCGGATAATAGTAGATGTTTTGATCAAGCTTTTCCGAGCGAAAAAATATATCCCCGAAAAGGAAAATATCGTCCCACGTGGGGACTCGTTTAATTACAAGTTACGTTATTTAGATATGCATCTGTTCGGTTAATTTTTATTTCAGAACAATGGTACAGGTAAGTGGAAACTTTTAAACATATTATTCTACCAGAATTTCGCGAAATTTGCTCGAATCAATGCATTTTTCTATCAGGTCTATTGGAAATTTTTGATTGTTTTTTTTTCCGTTGTCATCCATTAGTAAATAGGAAAGATGGCAGCAGATTATTGCGCTTTTTTCCTGTACATCCACAGATCCGACATTTTTCTTAAAATTATACCATTTTACAAGTTTTTGTTCAAATATTGTATAAAACCATTCACGTTCCAGTTTTACGAACAGAATTGAGCGGGTATCTTGTTTTTTAAATGAAACGTGGTTAACATTGAAATAAATAAAATACATAATTTTTATACGCCGAACTGGTATCAAATAAGGTGTTAGATGACATACGAATTTTGAAAAATTCTTTGTTTGTTTCACCGAGTGTAAACATTTCAGTGTTCGACGAATGAAAAATACATTGCGAATTATTTCAAGAAATTATTATAAATTTTTAAGTAGAATATGATAGAAATGAGGGTATAAAACTATTATTTATTGCATGTTTAAATGTTTGTATAATATCATATGACATGTTTGTTTTCAATACTAAAGAAACTATTTTTGCAGGCAATTGATGAAATGGAACAAAGGGATCTCCCGCAAGCATTCCGTTTGCTTGGGGAGATGAATGCCAATGTATTACAAGTCAATCAGCTTGTGGACAACATGTTAATTCGTGTTAAAAATGGAGAAATTTCTACAGATAAGGGTCTTAGTTTTTTGGAAATGAAGTATCACATGTTACTTTCTTATCTGATTAATTTGACTTACGTCGTTCTGAGAAAATGTTCGGGAGAACGCATAGAAGGAGATCCATCGATTGATCGTTTGATCGAGATCAGAACAGTCCTAGAAAAAATCCGACCAATAGATCACAAACTTAAGTATCAAATAGATAAACTTGTTAAGACTGCTGTAACCGGTACTATCAACAGTGATGATCCAACTAATTTTAAAGCTAATCCTGATGCATTTGATACCAATGACGAAGAATCCGATGATGAGCAAGTTGATAAAGAAGATGGTTTTAAATCGACACAATCGAGGAAGTCTAATGTCTATGTACCACCAAAACTTGCTGCAGTACATTATGGTTAATATCTATCTGTACAGATGCATATAATATTTACAGTAAATAATGTTACTTAAATATGTTATGTTACTATTATAGATGGAGATGAGACAGTAGCAGACAAAATTCGTAAAGCAGGAGAACGAGTTCGCAGACGTGCAGTGTCCGGTGCTGTTTTGCGAGAATTAAAAGAAGAATATTTAGATGCGCCTATCGAAGATACACACGGTCTAGGGGAGAAACAGGCTAGTCTAGGTCGCGAGAACAAACGGAAAATAGAATACGAAGAAAATTACATGACACGTTTGTCCGTTACTAAACAAGAAAAACACAGGCGTCGTCAGATGACTACAGTTGGAACACTTGGAGAAGAAATCACATCTTTCGGGGAATCATCTTTTGTATCCGCTAAAAAGAGAAAAACTCAGAAGAAAGGCAAAGCCAAAAAAAGTAAGTTCCTTTTTGTTTATAGTAAATGCTTCTTATCGGATTTTAATATCTCTCACGTGATTGTTACTGTCCCCGTAGGTTTCAAGAAAAAAAGGCATCATTAAATCGATTTTATGAAAATTTGAAAAGCTGAATTTCATACAGCATTACTAACTAAGGTAAAATGCAAGTTTCTTCAATTCTTCTTGACAAATGCAGATGCCATTAATACTCGTTACTAAGTTAAGCTAAATAACTCATAAACAATTAGTAATAAAAAAGCAACCATCAACGGTGAAGTAAAATAGCACGATGGTAATTTATTACTACATAAGACATACTAATGGTCGTGTAATTGATAATTATAGTTAATAATGATTTTAATCTTTAATTGTTGTCTGAAATCAATTTTTATCTATGGAGTTGAAATGAATCCCGTGAGTCACAAGAAATGATATCTCAATGATATCAAGTACACAGGAAATAATGTCAAGGTACATACGAGCTTAACTTATGAAAAGAAAAAAAATGAAGTATTACATGTAACCGTGACGCATTTAATCAAAGAATGGATTTCGGCTCCAAGATCTAAAAATTGTGAGTTAAACGCAAAAGTTGAAAGCAGAAAATTCGTCTGCTTTATTTTGAAATATTCTCCAGCTATAGATGAAGAAAAAATCAGTAACGTAGCAGGAGGGATGATATCGAATTAATTGTTACAGAAGCGTAAAAATCACAAGACATTCAATGCAAAAATTAGAAAATTCAAGTCGATAAGGAGAAAAAATGATTAGAAGTTGCAAAACCACTCTGCAAATTCTAAGAAACAATGTTTATTGCGCGATATCGCATGTCTTAGGATTTTCTCGCTATTTTAGAGTAGTGTAGTAGTTAATAGTTTTACTATTATATGTATATTTCGTTTGTGTTTTCCCCTGGTAAACTGTTGAGGCTATTATATCTCGATGTGAATCATATTTTTTATGTTAAGTTTCATTTTTTTTACAATGTGTCCGTGCATTGTACTTGTTGTTTTAACTTCTCAATTGCTTTCCATTAAGTTGTTAAACTTATATTAAAAGTAATATAAGGATAACACGAACGTGTCAAAATTCAAAATTGATATTGTCAATTTCTTAATTACTGTTTAAGTTTACTGTATTTAGTTTCTTAGGGAGGGGGTATGTGTGATATCGGAGTAAAAACTAATATACGAAGACTAGAGCGAAAATCACTTCTGCAATAGAATAAAGAATTTGTACGACAAATTATAGGGATAAATCCGTCTCTTGCGCTTAAATAGGTTCCATTTTTTAAGTGTTAGACGTAATTCTGGGTGTTTTCTTAAACCCAAAAGCAACGTTTCCTTTTCAAAGCGAAGGGGGGTGGGGAGTAAATATTAAAATGCACTCGACACAGCTCACACGTGGATATCAGTATCCATTACTCGTTCCTGCAGAAGTGATCCGCATTACCTTCAAAAGTACGAATTCGTTACATGCTAAACCAAGGGCTCAACCATCCATAGATATTATATTTTTTACAAAAGTGTTCATAGATTGAGCCAACTTGGTAATGCGTAATGTTACATATGCCCTCTCTTTTTCAATCTGTGAAGACGATTAAAAATGTGATAAATTATTCATGAAATAATAGTTAAAGAAACTAACGGAATAGCACAATTGCTGGGCATTATTTACAAGTGCTAGCAAGCCTAATGTCAGCAGCCTTGTCGTATTTGGTAATGAAGTTGGAATACTGAATAGCGGGAAGATTTTGATGAATAATATGAAGGTACTTCTTACAAAGTCTCATGCTCGTTTTAATGTAACAGCATGCATAAAATAAATGAACAGAATCACAATAGGTTTCAAAATTTGCCCGAAATTTAGTTTTCTCATACTTTATACATAGATAATAATTTTTGAAGCACACTTACAACTGAAATAACTGTAAGTCCAAAATACTAACTTGTATGAGTGAGCGAGCGAGTGTGTGTATGTGTGTATATATGTACATACAATGTACAATGTGTGTATTTATATACATCTGTATACGAAGCGTGTGTTTCCTCATTTTTACATTCTAAACTGTTTATAAACGCTCATTGAAGGATATTATGTTGTAACAGAATCGCCGTGAATCTTAAATAGAATACACGTTTATTATTACAATTGTTTATCAAAGTTTCCTAACGTGTTTCGCATATTTTGGACTTATAGTAAAAGTGTATGGGTGTGAAAAATATGAGACACATATCCGCATACACAACATATAGCAGCAAAGTAATAGGATTACATTGAATACACTACCTCAAATCAATAGAAATATGGATTTACAATAATATTAAACTGCGTCAGTTACGTTTACATTGTTGTGCCGTTGTTTAGTTATACATTTACTGATAACTACAGTTTTGTTGTGAAATATAATAGAATGTATTATGCCTTATGAAGAGAGGTATCTAGAATTTGTTATCTCTGACCTGCTTAGCGGGTGTAAATCTTTTAGCAAATGTACAAAGAGGAAGCACAAAGTATGTAAACGTTACTGTGAGCAGTGAGTTTAAAAAAGTAGTCCTTCAAATCCAACAACGCTGCCGAATACCAAATTAAAAGGAGAAACAAAATATCTTTGCAGCAAAAATGAGATTAGAATGATTTATTGATACATTCATAGTTTGAAGAATGTACCGTTTCGTTTATTGATGAATTTTGTATAATTTATGTACTAAGACAATTCAATGTGTGTGAGAGAAAAAGAGCGCGCGCGAGAGGGAGAGTTTACCTGTATATTACAAATGGTTATTATTAATGAATTATTATTATTATTATTATGAATTACTATTATTATTATGATTATTATATTATCATTATCATTGTCATCATCATCATCATCATTATCATCATCATCATCATCATCGTCATGTAGAATGCTTCTTACTGACTGAATAAAATGTTTTCAATGTCGATAATTATATAAATAATATCCGTGCATTATTGGAATCTATATCTGCAAAATTCAAATAATTTTATGGCCTTATTCGTTCGATCAGAAATCACATTCTATTTTCGCAACTAAATTCAGTAGGATCCTTTCATTTAATTTTACCTTGCTACTTCAATTTATAAATATGAAGATATTTAAAAATTTGAAAATCATAAATCTGCATACTGCTTCCGATTTGTTTTGATTATCAAAATTGCTCAACCAGCGCCAGAAATTGACAACTACGGTTTCCCATCGAACGAGTAACAGCTAGTGAATTTTAAATTTCGCGTTGGTACTATCGTTTTAAATTTGAGACACTTGAGTGCATCTTCGCAACGTATGTCAACGGACATATCTCCTCGATTCGTTTTGCACGGTCTGCCTGTCGTTGATCTGTGGCACGGCCGACGTGGTGGTAAGTAACTTTTCGATCCTAAAGACTTTAAATACAAACAATGCTAATTAAATATGAAAATACATTAGGCGTTAAATGTCATACTTTTCTTTCCGGATGACACACATATTTTAACTTTCACGATTTTGGATTTATTTTATCGATGCTAGTCATGTTAACTATATATTATAAGGAAATTTAATTGTACACAGTGCATGGCATTTTGTTTATGTCATTCGTTCTATTTTCTATTTCTTAAATTAATTCATTACATATTCTTTCTCTTTCTTTCCTTAGATTCTCGTTCTTCCGCCCTTCTATTCCCCACTCTTGTTTTCTCCTTTCTTTTGCTTACTATCTCTCTTTGTTCTTTACACATGTCTTTCTTTTTCTAACGTTCCTTGCAAGATGTCGAAAGTGCCAGAGGCGCTCACATGGGTACCGTATAAATTATTTTTGTCGCTACGTACGCTACAGTAAAATAACCTACTATTGTACACCCGACGTTTTGTATCAACTCCAATAACGATAACAAAACTCTTAACATTAATGTTAGTATATTAAATATTCATTTTCTTTCCGTTTGTCCTCAGTTATTGTTTTCTTCGTAAACCATTCTATTCCGTAGTTATTTTTAAATCACCCGCGGCGCAGAACTATGTAGTGAGAGTTTAGAAAAATTATTTCTTCAAAGTGATATTTAAAAAACCTTATAACTAACTTAAATTGAATTTAATGAACATTATTGTCAATTTCACTTATTTATTTAGTAGTAAGTGTACATTAAATTTAGTTATTTTTTAAAAACTTTAATTTTTTGTAACAAAAAGTGAGAATTAAAAATGTACAGTTTATGTGAATTACATTAAATTATCTTCAGCTGAATTATATTCTACTTTGCTTAATTATTTCATTCATTTAATTTTTATTCTTTAAGATTAGAAAAATGGCGGCAACACAACTAAACAGAGCTCGAACAATTAAGAAAGTTGAAAAACCTAGGCCGCTTAAACTCAATCAACGCCACTCGACCGTCGATGGGCGGATTACGACTGGTAATTTTGAATCACTATATGTTTTTTTCTCATAATGTGTCGGTATATTTTAAATGATTATACATTATACATTTGTGAGTCTGACCGATTACTATTTCATTATTTGTTTAATAAGTTTAATTCTATTTAACAGTGGAGGATATAGTGTCCTTAATCGACAATGTTGCAATGCAACTAACTAATGGCTTCCATGACCGAACGCTACAAATGAATGTGGTTACAATGTGTAATCACCTGAAGCTTTATGCTCATCAGTTAGAAGCTATTTATAAAGGTATAATTTAAACTAATAAGAATATAATACAAATAGTTTAAAATATAATATAATAATTATATATACATGATTTCAGATCAGCTGGATAGAGCTTTTGTGGCAATCAGAAATGGAAGTCAAGACGATAAACTAGATATGACGACTAGGGTTCACCTGCTGGAACTTATAGAGTTAAGAGCTAAGCAATGGCGTCACACTGATTCCATGGATGTGTATTACACACAAAAATTATCACATCTGGATAATGTAAGTCAAAACTTCATTGTTCTGTAAGTTAGATGCTATAAGAAAATAATCAAATGGTATCAACAGGTAGAAGCAATACCTGATACACCCACAAATGCATTATCATCTCCAATGGCAACAATGAGTTCACCAACTGTGGCACCAATTTTAGGACCTGGCGAAGTAATAAAGAACAGTGGAAAATTTGTTAAACCCACACGTATTCCTGGAAAGAACTATTGCAAAGATGAAGTTGTTATACGTAATAGTGATTCTGGTAAAGGTAAGGAAAATTTGAAGTTTATACGTTGCTGGTAATCGTTATATTATAGCAGATATACACATAAAATTTTTTGATGTTTCATAGAATATGGCCTATTTTATTTTTCAATTTTAAATAATTTAATTTGTGTTATTATGTTGCATCATATTTTTGGTTCTGTTCATTGATATATTTGGTATTATGTACATTTGACACATTTTTCACTCGTATTGTAAGTAGTAAGTATTATGTTCCTATTTCTAAATCATTTGCACAAAAATACAGTGATGGGAATAAAAGGGCGGCGGGTTCACATGATCGAAGAGCTCAGCCAGACAATCATCTCCTTCCAGCGAGGTAAACAAACAATTTGCAGATGGCTTAATAGCATCATGTTAATGCATTCCGAAAACAACTAATTGTATATTTCTTAATGTCTTTTATATATCCTAATATTCTCATTACATGGTTGATTTTAATCCAAAGGAATTTTTTTTGTTTTTATAATTATGTATCTTAAATTATTTTGCTGCAGAAGATAATACTTTATGTATGTATTAATTTAAATATTATAACCGTTTTATTATAAAACACTAAGATAAATTTTCATTGTTTCTTTTAATGATATAATACAACAACAGATAAATATATATTATCATCATAATTATAAATAATTTGTTTAAACACTTTATTCAATTAACTTTTCAATTGTGATTTGTGTCGTAACTTTTATTTACTTTTATTTGCATGAAAATTTTTTTTCTTATGTCTTTGTGTTTCAAGTATTGGTAAACGTTCTGTAAAATATAAAAAGAAGTATTTTGCAAGGGCTTTTACTGTATGATTTGCTCACAAATTTTTTTGTTGTGAAATTGTTTGTATCGTTATAATTTATTATCACTGGTTTGCATAATACTTGCAGCTTATTAAATCACATTTAAACAAGTATAAAATGTTATGAGAAGCATTCTATACATTTAATGTAATTTTATTTATTGCTTATAATTGCTTACCGTTTTAAATGCATTTTAAACGTCATACTATTTTTTTTTACAGGAAAGTTTTTACAAATTAATGAACTGTTTATTAATGTTCTAATCCATAAATTGTTTCTTGAAGTGATTCAATAGTACTTATGTTTAATAAATATTTATTGTCATATAATTCTGCATTTATATATCACACATTAACAGCAATGCAAACGAATAGAAAGTAAACTTCAATAACAGACATAAAACATATGCAATTAATATTATTTTTCTTTCACAGTAAACCCTGGAGCTAAAGAACGACTTGTCCAGATTACGGGTACTTCCGAGGACAAGATACAGTAAGTTCAGTGTATATACACAATCGTGAACAGTTGAGCCCGTAAAATAACAATTGTTTTAAACATTGTTATAATAGTTACGCGAAGGACTTGATAAAAGATACGATTCAACGAAATGCATCGCCGGTGAGATTGGAGCAAGGTGGAGGAGAAAAGGGAGCAATGGGTGGTTCTAGTTCTTCGTTAAATAGTAGCGCATCAGACGAGAGCAATCGACTACAGCAGCAACAAAGTTCTCGTTTACGAAGTTCACTCCTTCACAGCTTCTCCACCAACGACGCCAGTATAGGCGAATATAAATATACGGTTACGATTGGTAACCAATCCCTGAAAATCACAGGATGTAATCTTGATCTTGTTAGGGTAATAATTTTTGAATATTAAAAATACATTTTATACGTATAACCTATTCTAATGTGATTGCTGCATTGTTAGACCGCAAAGCTAGTACTAGATGAATACTTCTTGGGTGACGCTGAGAATTTTACAAGTGGTATAGAGTACTTCAATTTCGAAGAAGAATCTCCTTACTCAGTTTCGTCTTCCAGTACGCAGAAAGCATTAACTCCAAGTAATACAAACGAAGTAGCGCGGGAGTTAAACATAGATAGCGCTGCCACTTCAGAAAGTGAAGAAACTTATAAACCCCGCATAATTGCTGAGCCAAATTGTACAACTCAGGAAGGTAAAGTATCCTTGAATAATTATTGGAACGTTTTATTTAATTAGATTTGACGAGTAGTATTAAAATAGAACCGCGTCAGTTCCAGAAATAAGAGAACTCACATATGAGTTTTTGATGCAGTGTTCAACAGGCCCGTACGCAAAACGACCACCTGCGGATTGGGCTCGAATTCAGAAGGAGTGTCCCAACATTGTTCGCAAGGTATATCAGTATGATTCCAATGCTAATCACGTGATGTACAACACTGTTACTAATTTTCCTTCTAAGATAATGCAAGATTAATTCTTTTAAATTAATGATATTCGCATTAAATTTAACGATATTCTGAAGTTCTGTTTGTTTCTGATACTGGAATGTTCACATACTAAAGTGGTCATCACATATTTATTCGCTTTATTTTTAAAGTATACGTATTGAAATATTAATTTCCGTAATTTTGTTAGAGAGAGAAATAGCTTGATATCACTAAACAAAAATAAGTTTTCTACAATCTTGGAACTATATTTATTTAGTGATTCAGAATCTTCACCATGAAGGTCAAATTTGAATACTCCTTCCTCTTGTAACATTAAATTATCAGATTAATATTTGTAGCAAGTGATATATGAAAGTATTCGTTAGTCGACTTATATACATATAAGTTGTATGTATTTAAACCAAAGATTTTATGGTATTACTATAAATAATGTGATATTTAATAACTTTTACTAAAACATTTGATTTTGTCAGTATTATGTAGGAAACTTGTTATACGATTTATTTCTGCTATTGTTAAATAATTTTTATATTAAAATAACTCGCTTTGAAATTGTACTAATACATTAAGTATACTAATATATTAATATAAAATGACTATAGTATATTGTATTAGTACAACGTACTCATTCAGTGTTATCAGCTAAGATAATTATTTTCAGAATGTTTTTTTATGTTATTGGAGATCTGATTGTATTTTTTCGTTGTTTCTTTTTTTTTAAACAATAACTTATCTATAATTTAGTGATGTAAAGAATGAAATTGATATTGTATTATGTTATTTGTTATAATATGTATGACGTTAAATTTTATATTCTTATAAGTCCTGTTTTTGTGTTTAATGAATATTATAATCTTGTTTTAATAGCTGCTAGTTTAGCATTAAATGGTTTTACAGAATACGATATTGCAATTTGTTATTATTTTATTATTTCAAGTATCGTGTAGGAAGAAATATATTACACTTTATATACAATATAAGAGATCAGAACTATCATTGTACACCATTTTATGAGATTTAAAGGATAATAAAATATTTTTACATTGTATTTTACTTGTAAAGATCGTACAGTATGACATAACAAAAGCGTGACAAATCCTTATCTCGTTTAAACATATTACATAATATCTAAACATGAAATTTGTGTTATCCCATTAAGAAAGCATGCATTTAAATAAATCATTTAACATCTGCTTTATACATTCAAAGCATGCTGCTTGTAACAACATATTAAGGTAAAGTAAACATTTTATTATTAACTATTACATAGTTTCTGTGTTAACAGTGATTTATGTACACATTAGTTTTTTCAACAGGAACCGATTCGCTGGTTCGAACCGGAAACATATAAAGCTAAAGTAGCAGCTGCTGGGCTTGTTACAGTATTACCAATTGGAGACGGGGAAACTGATCCAGAATGAAGTTAAGAATTGAATGTTTTTCGATCGTCACAGAATTGTATGTATTAATTTACATCGATATTTTATTTCGATGTATTGTGATAAATTTTCAAAAACAGATTCAATATAATTGTGTTCACCCATGGACAAAATGGACACGTAATGATCTGTGAGATAACTTGTATTGCTCAATTCAATTATAGCAATACAAATTAATTTAAATATTTGGATAAGCTATAATATTTATGAACTTTCGAATTCTTTGCGTGCTTGAATCAAAAAAACTTTTTTTAAATAACTGTAATATTTTTGTAAGCATTTATGCTTTTATATTATAATTATATACAGGAAATTTGTAAAGTTACCAACTTTACTTAATGAAATGTATGAAGTGCAGCAAATACCCTTAGTCAGCTTTATAGGTACATAAATGTACCGCTTCATGTTTTGTAGCAAAGGAAATAATTATTATTATATTTGTTATTACTATACTATTGCTATAGAATTGCAACAATTCATTTAAAAACTCATGAAAGACAGCAAACAATTTTTGTATTCTTAGGCGTTGTAGATCAAATTATATAATTTATGAAATTTTTTGAAAGATGTTCAAGACAAGGAATTTCCATTAATAATTTTTTCTATAAATTGGACAGTTTAAATATTGAATGAAATTTATAAAAAAAAAGAAGAAAAAAATTCTTGAAAACATTTAACAATAATTCCACTAACAAATTAATAGAAATTGGTGTTATAATCGAAATTAAATTTAGTTTTATAGAGTAATTTATATAATAAGCATTTAAAAAATGCTTCAATATTTCGCGCGTAATATTTTGTTACGCATAATAGACGTAACAAAATTTTTAAACGAATAGTGATTTAGCATAGTCTAGTCTATCTTTATAGTAGAAACTACCATTCTGGTAATTACTCCGCTGTGACATAATAACCAAAAATGAGATTAAATGAATCTCTAATCAAGATTTTATATTTTATATATTAAAATAATGGTATTATGTGCAGTATCTAAATTAATTAATTAATTAAAAAACAGAAACTTATACTGTTGATCAATTTTTATTTAATTGATGTGAAGCATTTTTAATGTTGCACATTGATTCAAGAAATCTTTTATAACATACTAATTTGTGATTGCGAGTGTACTTGTTTGTTTGTATGTTTTTGTCTTTTAATTTGAAACATGCGTCGAAAGAAAACAATGTACATTATTTATTTAGTTTGCAATTAAATTGTACTGCACATATATGGAACGTTATATTTATATGTTTTTACATCTTTAATATTTATTACAAATTTACATGATTATTTGATTTAAATTATTAGTTATTTATTTGTATTATCACTAACTGCAGTAATATAACATTATATTATTGTATTTTGCTCTTTAATAATAAATTAATAAAAATAAATATCTGACTCCGTTTTTCCTCGAAATACAATAATGGGTGTTCGAAATTTAATGTATCTTATTTGAAATAATTTTATGACTTTTGTACACGTATCATTTATGTATATTTTCGATTATCATTATTCTCTTTTGCTTTTAAAATGGTTGTATAAATAAATCAACTGATTTTTTTCGGCGCTATAAGTTTTATTATTTCAGTATCGTATAGAAATGATAATATCCGAAATATACATACACCTTCAATTTGTGCATATTCCATTGTACTAGGATATCGATTGCAATTTTACTCTTCGCTTCTTGTAAAAGTTAAAAATGTTATTACATATAATTTAATGTTATGTGCATAAAACATTTGATGTCGGAGGCCTACTTATTGATTGTATTTCATTACAATATGTCATGTTTATTATTTAATCGCTAATTTCTATATTGCAAATAATTTCTATAAAGTAAAATTAAAAATAATATGACATACATATGCATATATGTATTTCTTCAATTCAGTCTACTTCATCAGTATAAATTAATGTCTAAAATACAGTGCCAGTTTCATTTGAAAAAAATAGCACAGTTTAAAATAAAGATGCTAATAAGAGTAAATGAGATGAATATGATAACACATTGTTTGCTTTAGCAACCAATCTTAAGACATCTAAAATATATATCTAAATTGCAGAAACTGGTTCTGTAGTATAAGAGACTATTAAATTATACGGTCAATCATACAATAACTGGCAGTTTTGTGAGAATGGTGGTCTTCGATGACACATAATTATCATATGTTTCAGAACATATTGTTACATGTAATATAATTTTATAATAAAACGAGTGAACTTATAGGATAATATATTAAAACAGCAAGTGCAAAGAACCACCATTCTAAAATTATACATTTATATCATTTTACCATATCCGTTTCCTTAAATACATATCTATATTATAAGTATGGATGTAAAAGATCGTGTGTATATTTATATGCATACAACATAGAGTATTAGGAATATCATATCAGTGACGAGCAATTGTAACATCAAATTGAATAAAACGAGTAAATATAATTGTAAAAGCTAATACATTTACTATAAAGTATAATATATGCCTACGCAGCATAAACTTATTTCAAGCTGCTGCGAAGAAATTACTCGTCTCTGTTCCATATTCCGAGACGAATAGCCCAATTTAATCTAATTATGATTCACTTATAAACAGATTAAACTAAGACGTTTTATATTTTCAGACATTAATGCGCAATTTGAGTCCCATTAGTTATATAAATAAAGATATTCTTCGTTGCAGAAGAATATCTTGTACAAAACATCGACAGATATACATCATATGTAATAAAGAATTAAAAAAAATATTGCAACATATTTACGTACTTCGGTATTAAATACGCGTTTGTATCTACTAGAGTTATGTTCGTTATAAATGAGATTTCGAAAAAAAAACTAATTTCACTTGAAGTTTTATTTTTTAATAAGTAAACGTGATGTGTTTCTAACATATTAACATAGCTGTTTTTTTACGGAATTCGATATTACGGTGATCACAAGGTTTCTAAGTGTATAAATATTAAAAAAATGTTAAGGGTACACTGTGTTCACATTTATTATAATCTAAACATTGTTTTATAAAACATAAATCGCTATGAGCGATGATCTAGTTTTTTAATACATTACTATGTTGTAATAATCATTTTTTGGGACAATATTCCAATCGAGGTTCACTAGTCACAATTTTAAATCGATAACGTTGATACTAAAAACTTCGTTTAGAGCACAAGACTAACATTTCAGAACATCGTAATGCACAATACGAATGACATTTCAGTAATGATATACATTCATAAGAAAATGTCAAATTAAAGGAATATAAAAGTCGCTGCTTATTGATGATCAATTTACTAATTAGCTGGCAATGTTCTCGTGTATAATTCTATTTACAATGCAACAGCTTAAGTTTTTTTTCGTGACCTTTTTTATTTAGAGGTTGTAAAATTTTTGTTCTAATGAAATAACTGAGCTATGTCCTCTAAATTTAGGTCACTTGAACAAATCTCGCTTCATTCTCATGATTCATAATTATAAATTTCTACCTAGAGAATTAAAATTTTCATCGAACTATGCAATTTTCATTCCTAATATTTATAAGATCAATTAAACGTCTATATGCAAATATGACCGCTAAAATTTTCACGCAATGATTGCTAAGCGATCAGCCCGAGACTATAAATATTAATTGATTACACATTAAATATAAAGTCATTACCGAAATTTAACGTAGTGGTCTATATAAAATATGTCCTCGCACTCTCACATTTATTTGTTTTTGTAAATATAGAAAATTATACCATTACTTTTTTTCTGATCATTAAAACGAAAAATTTACTAAATACAATCAGTGGGAGTTTGTTTTTGTTTGCAGAACAGTCAACCTTCTATGGGGTTAAAAGACATAATCAGCTCCTGCCATGTCTATTGCCCATCTGAATTTATCCCTTTGAGTTTTATTGTAAATTTTCTCAATAGGGACATTATGCTTCTTACACCTGATAATTAAAAAGGAAAATTAAATATTTCAGTATTGAACAAGAGACTTCATATAAAACAATAGTAAGATAAAATAATTACCATGCAACGCTAATCCTAGGATCAAGATAATTCAGTTTGGAAGTGCCTAAAGCAATTTCCTTGTTTTCTTCCTTGTCTGTTGCCTGCACTTCCAACTTTGTCAACTGCTCTTTTAATTTATCTAATTGTTTCTTCTTCTTTTCATATATACTGTAATAAAAAACGCATAATGTACCATTTGTAATTAATAAAGACTAAATAACTGACACTATACGATTCTTATAATTAAAATTGACATACTCTTTTTCTTTAACAGATCCATGCTTTGCATTACGTTTCGCGTCCTTTACTGCAAGTTCTGCATCAGCTATAGCCTGTTTCTTAGCATCTATTTTCGTCTTAAGATTTTCCATAGATTTTGCATGAGTTTTAGGCACTGAACGTTGATGGTTACATAGAATTGCAACCGCTCGATTTGCCCTATTATACGATAAAATTTTTTCCGCTACTGTATCGTCAGGATTTGTTAATTTATCCAATTGTTGCTGTAGCGTCCATGAAGCGTTATATGTCCTGAACACTTTAGCAGTCAGACCTTCCATCAATTCGTTTAAGTGTTTATTCATAACAGTTGTATTGAGACGATCAAATAGATCATCATTTGGTGATTTGTTCTCCATAAAAAGCTGTAGATTTTTAAATACCCTCTTCTCTACTGGCACTTCATTGTAATATCTTATGGAATCCTTACCTATAATTATATTTAATAAAAATATAAATTATTATCATGTTAAATGTGTTTCTCTGACTGTTTCTATAAAAATAAACTAAACGTACCTAAGAAATCAAATACTACTACGTATTCTTTTCCATCTTTCTGTTCATGCAATGTAATATGTTCTACTCGTAAAGAACAACAACCTACAGTGTCTGCTTGATCTTCATCTTTTTCATTACCAGCTCTGAGAGCTAATTTATCTATAAAGTACAAAGCAACAGCTCTTTGCCTTATACGCATTTCCTTACTCTTCCAGTCTTCTCTATATTCTGCACGAATTTTATCTATAGACTGCGCTAATTTTCTAGCAGTTTCATATTTCTGCCAATCTTTCTCTCCTTTAAGTTTACTCGATGGATTAAGCATGACATACTTCACTTGTCCTTGAATATTTTCTGTCCAAGATGCCAACCAAGTAACATTAGGATCATGTCGAATTTCTTTCCATTTATGACCTGGTGGTGGCTTAGGTATATTCGAATCTTTGGAACAGTTAATAAGAATATCTTCAGGCATAACCCTCTTTTTCAGTTTGCCCATTTTAGGATGTTCACCACGCCCTCTGAATAATCCAGGAGGTTCAATTTTAAAATTACCTATTTTTTCTTTATGTCCATCAATAGTACAAAAACCATATTCTTTTTGGATTTCTTCATTTTTTTCTTTTATCTTTTGCTTTTCTTCTTTTGTCATTTGTTTCCGTTCTTCACTCTTTTGAAGGAAATATGCATGCATTTCCTTAAAATTGCACTTACTCAAATCTTCTATTTTAGCCCTCTCTGATTCAGTCATTACTTCTCGCCAATCATGGAAGAAATTAGCATTAAATACTGGCTTTGTAGTATAATCATGATCTAACATGCGTGCATAGAAAGTGGCAACTTCCTCTGCTTCTTCGCTCAGTTTCATTTCTTTTCCATTATAGTAAAACTTCACATCCGGAGGGAGTGGTTCATATGGAGGTGCAAATACTGGTCCTTTGTGTTCCAAAAATGTCCATTTTGTACCATCATTTTTCTTTTCTTCCTCCCACCTAAATCAGTAATATGCATTTTACATTTATTTTGTCTTTTTTGATATGTATTAAGTCATTTTAAATAAAATAAACGTTTCGAAATGCTTTACAAAATTTTATAACCTCAAAATGGGCAACTTCTTCTTCTTCTTAATCTCAGATAAAAAACATTTATGATTAATACTTATATTCGTATTTCTAAATACTGTTTTAATAATTTTTATAATTTTAATCATATCTAATGAAAAGAAATATCAAATTTTCATGCCTAATTTTAATATATATAGGTACTATACTTCTGAACTGTAGGTTCAGAATAGAAAATGAAAGATTAGATAACCTCACTTCCGTAATTCGGTTTCCGCGGGATTTTCAAACACGAAATAACATTTTACCATTTCCAAACTTCCTGATCCTCTTCTTGTTTCTTCTTTCTTGGACTCGAATTTTCTCCTCTTGATGTTCTTGCACCTTTTTTCTTTGGTTTCTACAAAAAAGAGATTAAAATAATTTTTTAAACTTGATTGTTATTGCAAGATAATTTTGTAATGAATATTAAAATACATTACTTGTTCAATTTCTTCATCTTCGTCTTCTTCATATTTCCGTTTCTTTTTTTTTATTTTTGTCTCATTTTTCTTAGATTTTTTACGTACTGAAAGTGGAACATCATCTTCTTCTTCGTCTTCTGAATCTATTCTTCTTTTAATGTTTAAGGGTGCACTAGATCGTGAGCTCTATTCAACATAAATCACATATCAGAGTGTATTTATCATTCATCACACAGAATAAAACCATAATATAAATTTATCTTACCAATGGCATATCTTCATTTGATTCGTCTTCAGTTTTGATGGTTGTATTATGAAGATCTGAAAGCCTTGTATCATTCCCATCAGTTGAATCCATACTTGCTTCTTCTTCATTAGTAGGCTCTTCATCTTCTTCTTCTTTAATGTATAGTGGTTGTTCCCCACCACTATCATCATCATCTTCTGGTTCAATTTGCGAAACAGGTTCCTGCAATATAGTTTGTTCCCTTATACTTATTTCATCATTACTTACACATTTTACTTGCTACAATGTTTGTAAGGAATATAATAAAATGATATGTGTACCTCTTTAATTTCGTGTTTCTCAACCTGTTCAGTGTTGTAATGAAATTCTTCAGTGTCAATATGATTAGGTTTAATATCCATTACTTCTTCTTTCACTTTCACATCTTCTTTATCCTTCTCCTTCTTATCCTTCTCATCCCTATGTTTTGCTATAAATCAAATAAATAAAATGTAAAAATCATGATCATGATTTAATTATGCACTAAACATCATACTTACATTTTTCTTTGTCATGGCGATGGCGGTCCTTATCTTTATCATGACGATGTTTATCCTTATTTGACAAACTGTGCTTGTCTTTGTCTTTTTCAGAGGAGCGATGCTTTTCCTTGTCATTTGCATGAGAGGTGGAATGTCTTTCTTTATCTTTTTCCAAAGAATGTTTCTTTTCTTTTTCTTTATCCTTAGATACACTCTTATCCTTTTCTCGATCCTTATCTTTTTCTCTAGAACTGGAACTCAAACTGTGCTTGTACTTATCTTTATCTTTGCTCTTGTCCCTGTCTTTGTCCTTCTCCTTACTTTCTTTATCTTTGGAACTACTATGATGCCTAAAATACAACTTTCTTCATGCAAACAGTACATCAGAAATAAAATGCAGAAACATAATGAAAGGATTTTCCTATACCTGTCTTTATCTTTAGAACTGGAACTAGAACTAGATTTGTGATGATGCTCTTTATCTTTACTTTTATCTTTTTCTTTATCCTTGCTCGAGGAACTGCTACTTTTATGCTCTTTATCTTTACTGGACGATGAACTACTTTTTCTATCTTTATCCTTGTCTTTATTGCTGCTACCATCATGCTTATCCTTTTCTTTTACGGAACTTGAACTATGTTTATGTTTATCTTTTTCTTTATCCTTATGTTCACTTTTATGATTTCTATCTTTCTCTTTACTTCTTTCTTTGTCCTTGTGATCCGATTTATGAGATCGGTCTTTGTCCTTATCCCTATGTTCAGATTTATGTTCCCTTTTTTTGTCAAATCCATTTGACATGCCATTTATATGAGTATCTAGAAATGTGCAAAACATACTTTTAATTGTAAAGTTCTTTTTTCAAACAAACTGTTTTGTATATCATTAGTTATTGAAATAAAATTTGGAAGTTGTTAAAAGAATTTTTAAAACAAAATTTCACATGTATACTATTAATTTTATTTAGCAAAATATATTTATTGCATTTCAATTTTAAAATATAATTATTGCAGTTATTGGATGATTATTGCAAAAAAATTCTAATTGAGAAATAATTTCTAGATAGTCTATGTTAAAACGAAAAAAAAAATAAAAATAAAAATTTCCATAGTACGGAACGCGAACAAATGAACGATTCAAAAAAAAAGAAAGCTGAATTTGAATTGCAGGAAGTCATAAGTAGTTCGAACGCATCGTCAGAGCCGAAACACGTGTCAGACCGGTTGGGTTGTTGGCAGCCCGAACTCTTTGGATCGTATCATCAAGCTTAACATTAACGCTGCTGTAAAGTTTCGATTTCATCTGTGTCAGAATACGTATGTTAAAACTCCACGAATAAGTTTGCTTACCGCTATGATTCCCAGTCACATTACTGTTCTCTTTAGATTTTCTTTCCTGAAATGATAAAATCCATGTTAAAACATTATTTTAATAGGAACAACGAGCCCTATATGACCAGTCACTCTTCTATCGGACTTAACGTCTGGTGGTATGAGCGAGCCAGGTAGGACTTAGTCGCAGACGCCATTTTGGGACTTAGAAAAATTTCGCGTCTGTGGCTATGCCGTACGTTCAAGAGAAAAGCGATAATATGGGACGCGATATCGAAAAACTGTGTACGTAGGCAAATGCAGCGGAACAAATAGATACGAAATAGTCACTTACTGAGTCGGAATTCGACTGCGTTGTCTGCTGCTCGAGCTCCATTTCTCATACGAACGCGACTGATAGACTCTGGCAACGCGAGAGCTAACAGAAGCGAGAGAAGTAAAGAGGACTGGGGACACGCACACCAGTCACTCGTTACTCGACCATACACTCAGCGAGAGACTGCAGACCAAGTCTACGCTTAGATCGTATAGGATACTCCAGTCTAAGTATCAAAAATATCTAACTGCGCATGCGCTCCTTTGCTCCGCCTCTTCGATCCCCGATATAACCCTTCGCCCCGTACACTCTGTCTGTTTATTCAGTCATATTTCGTTTTACCGACGTTGATCGTGAACGCAATACTTGCGATTTTATAGATGAATGGAATTCAACTATTTGCTAATCTAGAGATCGAGCGGATTTTTTTATCGCATTAATTTTGAAGGAAAACGGCTGGTTTTTGTTCGCCAATTGATTATGAATAAACGTGTTTGTAACGCGAAGTTCTTCACATTTGTAGAATATGCATGGAAGCCATTTCACGTTAATTCGCATTAAATTAATATTACAATTACCCATTTTTTTTATGATTTTAATATAATCATAATTTATATGATACATAAAAATAAAAAAAGAAACCGTTTTTTAGCTTTGTAATGTAAGGTTTATAATATAAAATGTAAAAGGAATGTAAGTTGAGAAGTGTAAGTCAAACTCCACTGGTGCATCACAATTTTATATTTTATTTTATATGATACAAATCGTAGCTTTCATGGAAAGATTTAGTAAAGCGTAATTTCATGAGTAAAAAGAATTGAATGTAATTTTATTTTTAATTTTAAAATTTAAAAATTCATTTTATTGTAAAATGAATGAAAATTCATTAAAAACATAATATAAAATATTAATGAGTGCATGTTGTAGGTACCTATTAGTCCATTTATATCATAATAAACTAATTTGTACAAAGAAAACTCTGTAGTCGTGATTTTTTAATTTCGAGCCTATACTATAAAATTAATGCTATACAGTTGGTAATTTCTATAATTTTACATATTCTGGTTTTCCCTTGCTATTCCACACAGTCTTCATTTTTTGAAAAACAAATACAGCGTACAATGCTGAAAAAATATTCACTACATTAACAGTATCCATAAAAAATTATTTAAAAAACAATTATATTTGTATACTAACTAATAATGTCCCAATCTGACTGTGATAATGTTCCAATTTTATGACGATCTGATACATTTCGTGCATGTTGCTTAACATGTTGATAATCTTCATCAGGTTTGCCAAGAAGTTTTGTTCCCTGCTGAGGAGGGTATGTCTCTAAGGCTTGCATTTTATTTAACAAAAATTTACCTTTGTTCTTCATAGTTTCATAATATTCGTCAAATCTATAAATAATTTTAGTATTCACTTTGAATATTTAACATAAAAAACCACAGTCATAATTATTGAATATTTCCTTTTACCTTTTAAACATTACTAATTCTAAACCAAATTTTTGAGCCAATTTATTTAAAACTGGTAAATAAACCAAAAATTCTGGACAATTAACAAGACTTTCTAACTGAAAATGATATTTAGCACCAAAAAGTGGTGGTTTTGTTTTATCACAACAAAATTCTATATTGTATATATCATTTCCAAAACTATTGCCATCACATTTTTGCCACCTAGAACTAAGTAACAAAAGTAAAATTTTAAATACGTTGCTTAATAAATTTTTGATAAAGAATCAAACTATCAATAATTATACATACACCAAATCATATGCATTTGGAATAGTTCCAACAAAGTAGCCTCCTGGTTTTAAACATTCACTGGCATTTTTCATCATACATTCTGCTTGTTGTAATGTTTCAAAGCAATAATGAAATGCAAACTGACAGCTGACAAAGTCAAGCTGTATACTGGGATCCTTGAATTTTGTCCTTAAATGAACCTGAAACTCTCCTTTATAACCAATTTCTGTTGACCAAATATACATTGACAATATGTGATGTTTTGCAATAATAATTACATTTTAACATCATTTTATACTTTCCGCTGTCCAAAAAATGTATAAAATATTAAAAACAAATACCTTTGTACAATCTGCTGTTATAAATTCAGCAGTGAATAAAGGAGTGGGGTCTCTTTTATTAGCAGATGATTTTAATAAGTCCTTATAACGTTGCTGACACTGTTCTATGGATATTTCAGCTAAATCAGCACAAATTACATGTGATACTTTTGCTTTTTCCCATTTAAACAGATCTCCACCTTTACCACAGCACATGTCCAATACCTTTAGAGGAGATCCATACACTTTATGTTCTTTTACTTTATCTGTATATTCGCCTGAAAATAATTTCTTTATTATAAACTGTCAAGGAGAAATTAATATTATCAATTTATACAGATAAAAATCTTACTTATAAGCATGCTTTTAATCCAATTATTAAAATTTCTCATATACAATATACGACTTCGATTTCTGTTGCAATTATCTTCGTTTGCTAATGAATTATAATGTTTAGCAACTAATACTGAATTGTTACTATGTACTCTAGTTTGCAATGATTCGTTTGTTTCCTTATCATTATCAGTACTTAAATTATTAGTTTCATTAAGCTATAAACCATAAAATAATATTTACATAACACAGAATAATTTATTAAATATATAGCTATGAGGATTACACGTAATATATTTATATATACATTCTGTCCTGTATCATATTTTCTTCGATTTCTATCAGGTTCTGAACAGACTTCATCTTGTGTTTCATCCTCCTGTTTTTCATTTGAACTTGATATTTCTGTACTTGATTCAAGTACATTTAATATTCTTTTAGTATTGTGTTCAGGTAACAACTCATCTTGTTTACGTTTATTTTCGTTCATTATTGCAAGATAAAGTAGTATAGGTTTTGCAATTTAAGAATCACCTTAATCAAAATATTAGGTTGTATCTTCTATTTCACTTCAATTTTTGTTCGATAACATACGTTCTGCTATAAGAATCTATAGACAAGTCATTACAATTATTTAAGTTTGAATAAGAACAAACCTTTTATGAGTAACACATGCTCTAATATTTAGAACACCTACAGTACATCATTTCTGTATAATATATTTACATATTACCCGTTCAACAAAAGATCATACTAATCGTTCGACTAGTTCTGTTTAGTCTGCGTCTGTAACCCTGGTTGGTCCAAGTAAGCCTCGTAACCAAGAGCAACGTGCATATATTCGTGAATTTCGTGACACTGATAATATATAACCAGAGATCATTAATTTTGTATACTTTCTACATTATCATTTGTTCTTTCTATTGTCGTCTTTTTGAGTCACCGTGTATATGACTATATAATTGGTGGGAGACTTGCTGAAGTTAGTCGAGATGCGCAATCGAGTATGATCTATTGTGGAGAAAAGTTACTATTATCATCAAGGCTGACAACGTAATTTGTATTTTATAAAATTACTTTATTTTTATAATATAAGCTTTGATGCAGCGTTGCCATATATTAATTTATACATATACGTATTATTAATAAATCTGATTTAGTGTAAATAAATCTACATTATTTTACAAAATGTATTGTATATTTTACAATTACATGAACACTTTCTGTTATAAAACCGAAAAGTTATAGGTTATATTTGCACAGCTTTGTTTTTAAAGTTGGTAAGCAGACACTGGATTCTTTTTACCTTATATTACATGGTTTCATCTATTATCTGATTTAGATTTGTTATGCATATGATATTCTTATCTAGGAGCTTATCTAAAATTCAATAAGAAACCGAGATAAATAATAGTATTTTGCTTGATTGTTAGTAAAAATTATACTGCTTCATTTTTCTTTTTTTTTTGGAGGTATTTCAAGTGTTATGTATGTAAACTTTATTTAAATTATTGAACTTTTTATTTACTTTACTTTTTTGTTAGAATAAACTTTGCATATATTGCAAGACATGGATACCTTTCCTATGCAAAGGTATGAAACAAAGATAGAAAGTTTTGATACATGCATGATTGATGCTACGAATCAACAGAGAGAAATATCTCAAACAGTAAGCAGACAAGTGCCATCTCAAACAATTGAAGTTGAAAATCAAGAAAATCATGAGACTTCAAGTTTACATCAGCAGCAACAAAATCAACAACCACAACAGCAAGAATCACAGCAACAAAATCAACAGGATCAACCTAATCAAATTTCTCAGATACAATCAAATACTCAACAAAGTATGACCCTTACTCCAGTTCGATTACCAGCTATTCTGGATGGAGAATTCTTTACAGTAATTAGAGTAGAAGATACTAATGTAACAGTTCGTTGTTTACAGTGCCAAAAGCACTTGAATGGAAATTTAAAATCCACAGGAAATTTTTTAAGTCATATTAAAGTAAGATATATTTACTTTTGAAGTATTTAAACATTAACATAATTATTTTATGTTCATTAATTTAAGTGTTCTGCAGAGAGTACATCCCTTTATGGTTGATAAAATTAAATGTAAGTCAAATCAGAGAAAACCTGCTATGGTATATATTGACCTATCAGCTGATAAATACCCAAAAATTGTAAGAACAAAAAGGGGATATAGAAAGTGTTATCAGACAGTAAGTGTAACATTTGTAATTTTCATTTCACAAAGTAGAGATTATAATTTTGTTATAATCCAAATATTTGTATTTACGTAGGAAGAATTTCAACTAGGAAACGAAGAAACTTTTGATCAATCCAATAAGTGGACTGAATCCCCAGTAGTTCATAGACATAAAACAGAAGAAATTGAATCTCCTGATGTTTTGAAAATACCACATAATAATTCTTTTGTAATGGAAGATGAATTTGATGCAATTGGACGAAATGTTGCTGCAAAGCTTAGAAATATGAGAATAGACCAAAGAATTATAGCTGAAAAGTTATTGAATGATATTTTATTTGAAGCACAATTAGGAAATCTCCACAGAGATTCTAATATACATGTATAATAGCAATTATTCTATTTACTAAAGAAAAGACGGATATGTAAGTAAATCATACTGTGAATATACAGTAGAGTATCCTTACTACCCGTGAAAATGATTTTGGTAATAATTCGTCATCTATTTCCAATATCAGTGGATACTGAGAGTTGCAAACAATTGATGACACCTTACTGCAATTGCATAGGTGTATAAATAAGTCTCATTATTATTTTTTGGCGGTTTAGCTAGTGAATGGAAATGGCAGTAAGGTATCCTAGTAAGCCCTTGCCTTAGACGCGGGGATATGGATGAACAGAAATTATTTATAGGAATGGAAAGGCTCGTTAAATAGTAGCGAAACAGTCGGCCATAATTTTATGCGTCGTCTAGTGGCGATGATCGTAGGAATGAAACCGCCACAATTTAATGAATGAAATTGATGAATACATCTTTATTAATATTGTTGTATGTATTACTTTAATAATAGTAACGTTAAAGTGTTTTAAAACTAAGCAGTCAGATATAAATGATGTGATATATTTTACATATATATTTTTTAGTTCATATTATGCATATCGTAAGTAAGTGGTTTCAATAAACCTCTACTCAAAAATATCTTTAAAGATGAAGACATAGATTAAAAGATACACATATTTTAATACTTTAAGTATTTAAATAGGTATTTACAATTATTTCAGTATGTATATATATTACATGCTGTTATATGTATATTTATACAAGGTGTCACTAATCTGATGATACAATTGAGAAGGTGATTCTATATGAAAAAATAAATTGAAAATATAATACTAACTAAAAATACATTTAAAAATACGTTAGTGATTATATTTATCAATTTATAATAACTATTAATTGTTACATTAATGATACAAAAATGACTCTCCTTCTCATAAATAAATTTTCTTATAGATATTTTGCAAAGTTCCTAAATTTAGTTTTTTAGAAAACAAAGCCAGATGTAAAATAATATTATTCTACATTTGTGATTCATTTATTCACCTTCTATTAAATTGTATTATAAGGTCGGTAACATCTTGTATTATGTGTATATAGTACTGTAAATATTATGTAAGTATAAAATTTATAAATAACGAAAGATGCTGCCGAGTATAGTTAATGTTTGAAACATTTTCTATAAATATTTAATACAAATAGCTACCTGTAATGTATAACATTGTATGAAAAATACATTTTTAATATTATTTAATAATTAATATCAGTCCTTAAAGTTTCATTTTACACATAAAATTTGTAATTATACAAGTTACTCTATTTCTTATTACTATGTAATAAGAGTAACAACTAGTCTTATTACCATGTAATATTTGTCTCATACATCTACTTTTTATATAAAATGAAAATAAAAACAACTCATATAAATATAAGATAAAATAGTATCAGTACAACACGTACAAACAGATTAAAGCATTTGTATAATCACGACTTAATGAAATTATTTCCATGAAACAATTTTATGCATTTGTCAACTGGTATATACCCTATGCTTCTTTGGTTTAAGTAAAGTACAATAAAATAGCGTTGATAAAACACATAACGACATACTTCCGAGAATTACATAAAATATATAAGTATACCAAAATCCATCCCAATCTGCATAGAAATACCAACCTAATGTTAGAAGCGTGTTTTGTGCTAATACAAAAACATAGTATGGTAACACCCATCTGTCTGCATATTTAAATTTGATCCTATATTCAATTAAACTAATTATATAAACTAATCCCAGCCATAAATTAACAAAGAAAGTAATAATGTCATAATATTTTACATAATAAAATAGATATATCAACATTATACCATAATGTACACCAAGAACAATAACTAAATAAAGTGGATAAAATTCATAACATACAGCAATAGCAAGTACACGTGCTAAAATGAAAAAAAACCACCATAGGAAGCATAAAAATTTTCCAACAGGATCATCTTCTTCTAAACCTTTCTTTGAATATCTTCGTTGTGGAATTCTTAAATTTTGTTTGCTATCACTATTTTGATTTATTTCCGTAACAGACTGTGATTTAATAAATGCTTCAGATTCCTGATGTTCCGTAATTGTACAAATAGAGTCCGGTCGTGGTGGAGCTGGTACATCCGGTATAGGTAAAGGTGCAACTGATGTAATCCCACGTAGAGGAGTTGGGGGTGGTATAATTTGTACATTTTTTGGCGGTAAAGGAGGAGTCACAGATACTTGACGGTCTAAAGGAATATGGGAAATTGACTGTTCCCTTTCTTCATTTTGAACTTTAGTAGATTCCTTTTGATCTGCTGAATCTTGTACTGCTTCATTTGCATGTACAGCATTTTCTCCTTTTACATTACATGATTTTAAGGGAGTCCTTTCTTCGAGATCACAGAATTCCTGTTTGTAGGAATGCAATTAATATCAAAATAAATAACATATTATAATACTGATTATATAACATCTTGAATCAAAATACCTGAATGCAATATTTTTTCAGCCACATTGCCCATGGTAATGTCCTTCCATTAATACGTTGACTTTCAAATCTTTGAAAAGAGGTAGTTTGAATAGCAAGTATCACAATAGACATCAGAATAGAAATTGCCTTTATAACCACTATAAAAATGTTATTAGCAGCAGTGTTACATTTATAATTTAATTGTAATTAGGTTATATGCCAGATAATAAATTAAAATACCTGATTGATGGCTTTGGTGGGAAGATCCTTCGCGAAAAAGTAAATGTATTTGAAAAATAGCTTGAGGAGCAGCTTGAAACCATGCTTGTAAAAAAAAATATAATTCTATAGCTGCAGGAGCAGCTGCTATATTTAGAGTCTTTGTTCTCTCTTTTCCAGTTAAAATAATAGCATCTATGCATAATACTATGAGACCTGCATACCTATTGAACAGTTACACAATATATTAATAATTGCATTAATGTTAATTTTAATTTTAAGTATAAAATGTACCTATAAAGAGAAAAGAAAACAAATCCAATCAGCTGACAAAATTGTAGACAAAACCAAACAACTATGCCTTTTGTTAATTTATCATTATCAGTCATCCACCAATCTGGTCTTGAAACAGTTAACATAAAGTATGCAATTGCTGGTGCATACATGAAAGCAATTGTACAACATCCCCATACAGGATTATTTTCCTTAAAATGTTGTATAGCAACCACTAAGTCCGCAGAGAAATGAATTACATATACAATACACGAGATCAATGTTGGAATTAGAAAAACAAGATAAATTTGTTCAGTTGATTTCAAAGGAACTTGCAGGAAACGAGTAGATTTCTTCTCACAAACTGAATCCAAAGTGTTTGCCATGTTTTGGGATTAGATGAATTTGATCTATTTTTTCATCTTTTTATTTTTTCCAATAATACTGCTGGCTTTAATATCTTGAAATTATTGTATAATCAGCTGAAATATAAAGTTCTTATTTAAAAGATAGGTAATTAATAAATATTTTAAAGAAAAGTAAACATAAAAATTTATATTGAAATACTGTAAATTTAAATAAAAGCAATATTTATTATAAAGTTATATACATTACCTAAGATACAGTTTTTTTATTCACAGAAAAATAAAATAGCTTTGTTAAAAAATCAAGTCACAAATTTCTTACCTCAGGATTATATCCTGAGTTACAGTATAAAACATTATCTTTTATCTGACAAATCACGAAAGCAAAGTAAAACTGTTGATAATACAAATGATCCAAAAATGGTAAGGATAAATTATCCTTATCACGTTCTAGCGAATGCACAATACCAAAGTTAGATATAAAATAAATTTAATCGAGGTAAAGGTAAGTGCGTATGTATTTAAATGATTAGTCAGCGTTTGAAATGAAATTGATAATTCGATAAGATTCCATTTTGCTAGACAGCGATAAAGCGTCTACCGATATGAACGCTGCCTCTGTGGCGAATGCTATAGAAAGAGTAATCAGCAGATACAAATGAAATAAGAAAGATGAGGAGAGGGGAGTGGGGATATTCATCTATAACGGGCAACTACGCCTGCGGGGTTGCGATGTACAAATGTGCAAATGATATATACTTATAATTGACAGATAGTCAACTTTTCTGTTTGAAAATTAAAAAATTTTTAATTACTATATATCCAAATTTAACTATGATTTTATTTTTTTCAAGTACACTAAAATTTAATTTTTGTAACATTCTTAATACTTATTGATAAAAGTCATTAAAACATAGAACATGATATATTTGAATGAATATCATGCAATTATAGATTCCTTAAAGAAGCATTTATTCACTTTTTACAAACTATTTAGGTTTTTATAACAAAATTGTAACATAGCGAATGCTGGTTCCACAATTTTTATCAATTTTTATTTTGTACAGTTTCATTTTCCTTATTTTCTAGAGGTTCTAGATCAGACAAAAATGCATTATATTGTTCCATGATATCTTCAGTTGTACCTCTACTTTTGTCATCATAATCAGGACCAACTGACCACAGAGTTTCTAGATCATATACAGGTCTGGCAGATTTTGAAAAAATATGTACTGCAATATTTCCTAAAAAATGAAGGAAACAAACAGTAACATAATAATACGTTCAATTATAATAAGTAACATACCTAAATCCATAGCTATCCATTGTTTTGAATCTTTCCCTTCTATCCTTGGTATAAAATCTGTTTTGTGTCTTTTTAATTTATATACTTTGAGAATGAAAGCAGCAAGTGCTTGCATATGTTTGTTTGATGTACCTGAAACTACAACTATGTAGTCGACGTATGATAATTCAGGAGGTACTGAAGCCACAAAAATATTTTTAGCATTATCCTTTCGTAGCAATGATACAAGGTCCTCTATTTCAAATACACCACTTGTCCCACCTAATAAATACTTTCATTAACTTTTACATGTTACATAAAATTATTTTTCATTATATGTACTTTAGTGCATCTTAACTTACGTTCCAAATTAATACCCTCATAAGGATCACGAACCTCCTCACTAATTCTTAAATCTTCTAAATTAATTGTTTCTTGTTTTTCACTGACATCAAAAATGATTTCTGCATTTTCGTCATCCAAAACTTCGTGAGTGATATTAATGGAACCAGCTAGGTTATGTGATCGATTTTGCGAATAATCATCTTTATTAAATTTTTGATTGTTTGTTGACAAATTTTTAACTTGTTTTAATAAAGAATATGTTATTATACTATTCCTGTGTGGTTTAGAATATTCACATAATAATTTCCTTGAACGCGATAAGTTTTGTAAAAGACGCATTCGCATGATGCTGCATACAACAAACAAGGTTATGTTTATACTGATGTAATGATAACATTATTGTTATAGTAACTTGAACATAACCTATAATACCTTAAGCAAACATAACCATAAACTATACGAACGTCTTAACCTTAATCATGACATGAGAATAAAGAACAATATTTTATGTAATTTAAAAGATCAATTTATTAAATTGTACAAGGTGCATACATTAATAAAATGAGTCCTCTGTACTAGAAACATTTATAGCAAGTGTCAGATTGTAGAATTAACCAGGTTTACGGTCACGTTGGTGTTATTTCTATACCTGAAACATTACAAGATCATAAGATTAAAAATAAAATATTTAAAGTTTGAAGCAAAACTTTCATTTATTTTTATTAATATACTTACAGAGATTGTGAATTAAGGTTTACTTGGACCTCGCACGCATCTTCCTCCTTTTACGCTTCAACCTCCGCATTCTCTTTTTACGCCACTGTAAACGTAAAGTTCAATTAACCTCAAAGTTTATTATAGCTTTATATTCGTCATTTTATGCACGCAAAAATAGTAATTACATTAGAAAATAATGTTTATAAAGTCTCAAATATAACAAAAACGTGGTAATCATAAAGATGTGTCAAGAAAGCATGCAACAAATCACTAACGAAATATTTATAATGTTTAAGAAGCCCATAAATAATACCGTATAAAAATAATAATGTTTATAAATAATATAATTATTGCTTTACCTTCGCTCTCATTTTAAATGATCGAAATTTCTAGATTACTCTAGAATATTTCGATTGTCGTCAAGTTTACTCCTTCAGCGACTATCGCCTCTTGACGCCAACATGGAAGAGAACCGCTAATATTGTGAGCGCCTGTTTCCCTGAGAACTGCTATGAACCGGAAACATTAAACATAATAGTTTACACGTTTATCTCTAGAGGGCCAGGATATGGTATATGCATATATATATGTACACATAAACTGCAAATTTGTAACAGATTATATTATTAAACGTAAAAGCATGGAGTATTGTAAAACAAGGAATTGCCATTCAAATGTACAATTTAAAACAACCTTTGTTACATATTAATACTTTTTTACATTTTATCTTAATGTAATAGCGTGTATGTTTTAAATGTTATCAGTTTTCGCGCGAAAATTCACGCTCTGTACTTTCCCGCGTTTAAAGTGCATTCCCGCGAAAAAGCGCGCTGAGCAATACGTGATACACAGTAAGTGCGTTTGGCACAAGCAACATATAAAGAATTAAGTTTAAAGAATATTCTGTATGTTGAAACTAATGAATTAAGATTATTGAATGCAGAGTTTAAAGTGTATTAACAAAATTTTATATAATTGTTTTGTAAACGAAACATTGTTGGTTACAAAATAACAAAATAAGGATGTTAAAAAGTTGACGTTATAAATTTTATTTTTAATGAAAAATAAAATTTGTTGAGTATCAAAGAATTTTTGTGTAGCTGTCTTGAAACGTATATAAAATGTCAGGCATTCAAACGACAATTCCATTCACTGTGAGGAAAAAGTGCTCATTTTATGGAAGCAAAAATAATGTAACAAAACAAGATTTTACTGATGCGACTGTCAGAGAGTCTTCTTACAAGTATACACCAACTGTGAAAAAGGTTATTACTTTGAGCAGTAGTGAATCAGATTCAGATTCAGATGTGGAAAATGTGTTAGTGAAAAATAATATAAAACTTTGCGATAAAGATGCCACTGTTCAAACTCCACGACATACTAGGAAGTCTACTGAATCTAATGGTATGTAAATGAGATTCATTGTACTTTTAAACTTTTCTTTGTGCAGACTATTAAAGAAGATATTAATATGTTTATTTCAGAAGATCATGGTTCAACACCTCCTAAACAAAAGAAATTATCAGTGCCAGTATTGTCTCCATCAACACCTTCTACCCTTTTTAATAAGTTGAATATAATGACATCTCCTGAGAGAGAAGAAAAATTAGCTCCTAAGAAATTATTTAGTTTTGAAAAGTATCGAAATGCCCGTAAAGCTTTACATAGTTCAGTACCTGAAAATTTACCTGGTAGAGAGATGGAATTACAACAATTACAAGACTTTATGACAGAACATTTAAAAAATGAAAGATCAGGTTCTCTGTATGTATCAGGACCTCCTGGTACTGGAAAAACAGCATGTCTTTCTAAGTTAATGTTAAAACCTGAGTTTAAATCACAATTCAAAGTTGTTTACGTTAATTGTACAACTATGAAATCTGCTACTACGATCTATGCAAAAATTATTCAAGAGCTAGGTTTATCCACTCCAAAAACTGTGAAGGACAAGAAACTAGCTATTGAGAAATATTTAATCTCTAAACATAAAATGTTATTAATGATTTTGGATGAAATAGATCAACTAGAAAGTAAAAATCAATCTGTTTTATATTCCATTTTTGAATGGCCATCGATATGCAATTCAAAATTAATTTTGGTTGGCATTGCTAATGCCTTAGATTTAACAGATAGAATATTACCTAGATTACAAGCTAGATGTGAATTGAAACCAAAGTTAATGCATTTTTCACCATATACAAAGCAGCAAATATGTAACATAATATCAGAGAGATTAAGTGAAGCAAAAGTATCTGATTTATTCACTGGACCTGCAATACAGATGTTATCTGGTAAAGTTGCTGCTATTTCTGGAGATATTAGGAGAGCACTGGATATTAGTAGAAGAGTAATTGAGTTTGCAGAATCTCATAAATTGGAACAAGTGTTGCAACCAACAAATAATAAAAGTACGTTATTTATTATAAAATGAATTTAAAGGGAAGTAAATTGTTATGCTTAATAAAATATTACTTTTGTAGTAGAAACAGGTATGGGTAGTCCCAAGAAACAACCACCAGGAGATAAGCCAGTAGACTTGAAAGAAATCATTACAGTTTTAAATGATGTCTATGGAGGATCTCAAAATATTGAAAAAGAAGAAAGCACATTTCCTTTACAACAAAAATTATTATTATGTTCTCTTTTACTCATTTTAAATAAGGGAAGAATTAAAGATGTAACAGTGGGAAGAGTAAGTTTATAATAGCGAAATATCCTGGGATAAAAATATAATTTTTTCCTATAACACCATAAATGTTTCAGTTGCATGAAGTATACAAGAAAGTTTGCAGGAAACGGAATATTCATGCTGTTGATGCATCAGAGTTTTTCAGTTTATGCTCGTTGATAGAAACTAGAGGTATTTTAAAATTAATAAGGAAAAAGGAACCTCGTTTATCGAAGATTAATTTGGAATGGGACCAAGAAGAATTAGATGCAGCTTTACAAGACAAAAATATGATGGCGGAAATTATCAATGATGTGACTTGTTTATAGATATTATGACTTAAACTGTTACTGTTTGTTAGATTGTATATTTTTTGTTAAGCACCATAAGACTATATTTTTATAACAATATATGACAATCATTTTATAATACGTAATTTATAAATCTGTATGTTTTATTAAGTTATTATATTTTTAAGTCCATATAGTCTGTTGCAGTATGCAACATGCATATGAAAATTGTATGTGTGATGTTATATTACATTTTTTCGAATATTTGTAAAAAGTAAACGTAAAGTACGCAATAAAGTGACTTGCTTCTAAAAGTAAGCATCTACTTTTGAAAATTATATATTGATTTTGAAAGTGTCATTTATAAATTAGGTATAATGAAAGCTAATGCCTATTAGTGCGGTTCGTAAGGACCTGTTCCTTTTGGTTGCCATTTTCCCCAGGAATGCTAGATTTGCGTTTGAGTGTACTGCAGTGGTTTAGAGTTCCGTTTCAAATTTGTAGGATCGAATATCCACCGTTAATTTTGCTAACATCATCAATGCGCATACGCGTTGCTCTTGGTTACACAGCGTGTTTAAACCATTGAAATTTGAAAAGCGACGATTTGAACCAATCAGAACTGACATGCGCAATAAATGAAACCAATGACAACTTATTGTGTGATGAGCGTGGTCTTCCATTGAGTAAAGTACAAACACTTATTTGAAAACAAAATATTTTTTGTTATTTTCAATTGTGTGCAATTAGTTTTTTTTTAGTAAATAAAAGATGTACAATTGTCTTAAACTTACTGATCCAGTTGTGATATGTCCTTATAATAATAAACATGTAATTGTAAGATCTCGTCTTCAAAACCACATTGTTAAATGTGAAAAAGTATGTAGATTAATATGAGTATAACATATACAGTGCATTAACTTTGTCTGTAATTCATTAGAATATAACGTTTATTTTGTAAAATGCTTGATTTAATATAGAAATATATTATATTGTTGTAGAATTATCCTGAACATTATAAAATTATGTGTCCATATAATGCAACTCATCGGTTGTTCAAAAATGAATTAACAGAACATATCATTACATGTTCTACACGTAATGTGTTGGAATCAGAAATGTATCCAGGTGTTTTAAAGTTTTATAGCTTCTTTTTAATTTTTTAACAGGGTTAAACTAAATTTATAAAAAATATTTTCATTATTTCATAGCACCAAGAAAACACGGCAATACTAGTTTTGCATTAAATTCAGAGATTTCAAGTACGATAGATTGTACAGAAAACTGGGATATAGACAATGACAATACCAATACTAGTTCAATTGAGGATAAAGATTTTTCAACTAATAATATGGAACCACAAATCCTTAATGCTAATTTAAAGTAATACTTATTTTTTAGTTATTATTAATCATTTTGTTATGTATTTATTTACATTACTTTACTATATGATTTTAGTTCTAAGGATAATATAGAGAAAAAAGTCTTAAGAGCTCCTCGTGGATTTTCTGAAGCTATGTTAAGAGAAGTAAATGAAGAATCTTGTGTTGACGATGTGGAATCAATAACTAGCTCATTAGGGATTGGAAGAGGAAAAGGTACTTTAAGAAGCGACCAGTTAAAATTAATTGGATTAGGTAGAGGAAAGCCACTAAATAATGATATTTAGATGTAGTTATAAGTAGTATTATTTGTTTTACCAAAGAGTGGATTTTTTTTTTACATAGTGTATAATATGTAAACTCAGTTTAGTTACATAAATCCTTTTATTTTAGACATTTACATTATTCATAATATTTACATAGTATAAAGGAATTTGCAAAAAGAAGTTATTTTTTTTTTTCAAGGAACAGATATGTTATTACAAACATTACTAGTATATGAAAAACTAATATTTTTAAATTACTTATAACATAATTGTGATAACTGCAGTGGCTGGTTTATGTTTAGCAGTAGTTAAACATTAATTACTTTTAAATGCTTTTTGTAAAAATTATTAATTATAGATTATACGACTTTTAATTGATTTCTATATTCTTATGTAATATTACATTAGGTAATATAAAATGTTCATTACTTCATATTTACAATTATGACAAAATTTGTTGCATTGCAAGTTAAAATTAATTCAACATCATTCACTTATAAATGTTTGAAATAGCAACAATTAAATTGATCATGCAATAAACTTAATTCGCATAGACCTCATTACAAAAAACAATATTATAATTATGAATACCAATATTGAATTTGTATTAAAAACATAAATAGGACAATAAAAGGAAGTATAAATTGATTAACTCAGATTCTGAAAATAAATTCGTTCAAAAAATTCTTTCGCGTAAATGAAAAATATTTGATTAAATGGAATTGTTTCAAGTAACATATTTTTATATATCATACGTAAGTACATATACATATCTTTGCTCATAAAATTTATTGAACAAATATGCATGATACATTTACCATGTACATCTTTAGAAAGAATTATAGTCGCTGCAAATCATTTCCTCTCTTCCGTGCAACACGTCACATGTTAACATCTAAAACGAGACTTAATAACAACTTCGTTTCGAATTTTTCATACAAACCTTGTACATAAATTTTGCAGGAAATGATATCCTCTTTTTGCTCTGTTTATAAATAGCGAATTTCAAGTGGAAGTTTGGGATTAAAAGTTAATAATCCAATTCTATGCCACTTAATGTTCTTAAAATCGATCGGTATTTTTTTTTTTTACTTTTTTTTAACCCGCAGTCACGTGCATTAGAACGTACAAAGGAACAAGTGCTAAATTTGTAAATAAGATTTTAATTTCTCTGGATACTGACGTTTCAGCCAGCAATTATTTACAAGTTTTTTTAAAAGTATTTTCCGAGTAATTGTTGGCAGTTACCTAGCTGCAGTCTGTTTAATGTTTAATGTATAAAAACCGTAAATTTATTGAGCGCAATATTTGCACAATAGCGAGATCATTGCACTATATTCATTTACTACACAGGATGATACATCTATCGGTTGGTAAAATGTATCGGTGTAGTAATGATATTGGCTACGCAATATCGTGATGTTTTCGTTAAATGATTATTGTATTATGATCACAACTTATATATTTGTAGATTTTTTCTTTTGCTGTTTCCATACCGATATCCTTTCTTTTAAATCGAGCACTAAAAATATTCAGATTTTTAAGGTATTTCAATTTTTACAATTACATACACACGTGCATAATTTGTGGTTTGGTTAACAAATTTTACTTACTTGGCGTAAGCATATCTTCGCTAAGAGGTTGCCGACTGAAAGGATCTGTAGCGCTATTAAGGAGATGTCTAATAATAACTGCCTTATCCATGACAATACCAGATGGAAGTTTAACAGGTTCTTCCATGAGTGTATCCATAAGTGGGTCTCGAAATTCCTCTGGCGCGTCGCCGTAATCTTCATCACGTGCACGATTATCTCTGGCAATAACTGCAGCACGTTCTGCAAGTGCTATAAATCTTTCAATTTCCGTGGTAGTCTTGATTACTGACCTCTCTAGCCTATTCGCAGCGTCAGTAAATAACTCTTTGCAGAATGAGCGCTGTAATTATAGCATCTAATTAAAGCAAAACTGTTTTATGAGGAATTTTCCATATCAGTTGCGAACTTACCTCGTCGGTAGCTAAAGCTGCCGCGAAATTATCGCAATCGAGATGTAAATATATATCAACCAATTGGCCAAGTAGTGCTCTTGGTTCCCATCCATATTTCTGTGGTTTTCTTACTTTTAAATTTTTACATTTAGGGCCACACAACTGTTGTAGATTAAAATTTAACATGGCACATAATCTTCCAACTAATTCTGGCCGTAAGAACGGTTCTGTGATATCGACTGTTAAATAATGAAACATGGCAACAGTTTCTTTGGCCAAAGTGAGATATGATCTGGCCTGTCTTTCATCTGCTGCTAATTGCCTCATTCGCGAATGTTGTTGTTCCTGAGAAAATGCTGCCCACGCTTTCAGATCAGACATAAGTTCTTGGATTTCATGAATACGTTTCAACGACTCTAAACTTTCATCTAGTAAAAACGTTGTATCATTCATTAACATATTAATGAATTTCACAAATTGCTTTCCATTATTGCTCTCTTGTATAATTGATTCCCGATGCACCGGACTGTCCCACATAGATTTCAAGATTAAACTAATGTGATAACGAATTGAAAATTTATCATAAAATTCCGAGCTGGAACCAGTTGTCTCAACATCTGTATAGAATTTCATGAGGTACGATGCTAATAACGTTTTAGATATAGGGTGTGCCATTACTTGATCATGAAGCGATTCAGTTCGGCCCTAAAACAAATAGTATTTTACTTAGCTATAATTCAACTAAGAACAATTTTTTTTATATTATAAAGAATTACCTGAACACTAGGATTTATTACAAATAGCACTTCAATAATTTTTGCTATTAAATATGGATTTCGTATACAATGCGGAGTACATACTACAACAAGTAACCATGTAATAAGTGAATTATCCATGTTATTTACTATTACACCAGGACTGAATCTATAAATAATGAACATAGTAGGTTATATGGTATGCAAGTTTTCCTCGTAATTTAATGTTACATAACTTAAAGTGGTACTTACTGAAGAGTAAATAACAAAAATTCTGCAATATCTTCAACATACCATTCTGGTAATGCGGTAAACTTTTGTGGGACTTCTTGGGGTAAAGGAAGTTCAGGAAGAGGATTCCCTGGTGATGTTTGAGTCAATAAACTTAGCAGAACCTCTGCTACAGAGATGTAAAAATGCAAACATCTTCTCAACAAAACAGGGTCATTCAATCCAGCATCTGTGCATGATTTAGACTTGCCAAGTTGTTTTAATTGTTCTTTACAACGTTTTATTAATTCTTTATTACGACCTGCGAAAGGACTGTCTTTCCATTGTGGTTCAGTAGCTTGTAGATCATCGAGCATTTTTTGCACATCACGCAAAGTCCTCAGCTTTCTCTGGTATTTCTGAAAAGCCGGTAACAACGCTATATGGTGACAATGTAGAGTAAGGAACCAACATTGTGTTGGAAACTTTGCCTCGACCCACTTGTGTGTCCTTTCTAAATATTTTAGCCAATCAGCGACTTCTTGGTACGTTAGTTTCAGCCTTGTATCATTTTTTATTTCCACAAAACTTGACGGATGAAATGGATACAAAGGATCCACCGTATCTAATTTAATTTTCACTGAGAGCATTTGTAGAACTGACAATAAGTTCAACATAAATCCGTCTCCAGCAAGTGAGAATTCTTCTGTTTGTATTTGAGCACGTTTTTCATTATGACGTAATAACGTTGCCAAGTATGTTAACATAGCTTCACGGCAGTTGCTATTCGCGAGTATTGCATGAAATATTTTATGAAGTGATGTCCTGGTACTTTCTAGTTCTTGTTGCAACGTTAAATTCATCGATTTGTCGATAAATGGATTACCACTGAAGAACTTTTCAGCCACGTTTGGTTCATCTTCAGCAAATACAGAAACTGATAAAAAAGGTCCAAGAAAAGATGTTGTTGTAAGTTCTCTACCAGCCGCTGATGTCATAATGTCAGGCAAAAATTGTACTTGATGAATGATTAAACGGCAGATTGGGCGTATATTACTACTCGCACCACATCGAATTTCTATTAATTCTTCTAATGCTTCAATCGGTCTTCGATGCGTATTTCCAACCAAACTAGGATGCTGCATTGAAAGGTATAAGCCTTGCAAAAGTGGAGTAAAAATTTTATTAAATACTGCTGAATTTGTATGCGTTCTTGCCACAAGCTCGTGTAAATATCCCCGAGGTAAACTTTGCGACAATACTGGGTACAGAAGGGGTGTCATGGCTAAAGGATACGTGGTCGAAGACTGAGAAATACCAGCTAGGCCTTGTAATACAAGACTGGAATACTGAACACATTGTGCTCTTAGAATAGCTAGTACATCAGACAATGGTGGTGTACTCGATTTCTGTTTATAAGAAGAATGATGTTACATTTTGTACAAAGACAAATATTCTCATTAAGACACAGTATTACAATATTATACCTTTGGATGATTGCGTTCTTCAACTGCAACTCTTGAATAGCAATCTAGTAAGTAAGTGAAACTCTTACTTTGCGACGATTTACAACAAATATCACACCGGCAAAACGTCGCAACTGGGCTTAGTAAGGGACTCGTTTGACTATTAGGGCTGTCTTCTCGATTCGAAGATATATCTACATTAATTTCTTTTAAAGGATCTTCATCTTTCACAAACATACACAATACCTCCATTAATGCTTCATTTATGATCTCTGCAGCATCAACAAGTTTCTCTGTTGATGCATGAGCTGCAGTTTGTGGTAAGAACACGCAACCTTCTGTAGGTTCTTTCCATGATATGCATAATATACGTGAGATAACAGAATGTATTTGTTCTACAGTTATCTCTGTACTAGAACTTGTAGTCTAGAAAATAATTAAAAACAATTAAAATAACTGATACATTTATACTTGCAAACTTATACGTGTACTTACACGTGATCTTGGTTTTAGATCTTTTCTATCAGATTCTTCAACTTCCATATTTTCAATTCCTGAATCTACATCAACTCCAGAACTACTACATTGTTTATCACTATTTTCTTCTACTTCCATTGGTATATCAGAATTTTGAAATTGTTGTTGTTTTGATGGTGATATTATTTGTTCTGTAAATGCTTTTGATGGACCTGGTGTACTTGGAGAAACTGGACCACTACTGTGATTTGAATTAGTTCCTGAATTAATACTATCTAAACCTGCTAGACGAGCCATACGTCTTCTTCTTACCTACAATTCACATAGACAATGCTCGTTAATAAATTCTCACAATTTTCTGAATAAAAAAAACTAATAAATTTCAATAAATGACATTAAAACTGATATAAATTGAAACATGGTTATGTGCTTTAATTCACATTTATTGGTACATTACTAAATACGATTGGTTTTCATTAATCATCTTCATAAAAGTGGGTATTCTTGAATATAAATTTTATAGATAACTAGAAATAAAGATAATAAATGAAGAATATCTGTGTGACACAAGTAAAGTTTGTAATTCATATTCAACATTTTATATGATACATGTTACATATTGTTTTTATTGTATTAAAAGCATAATATCAAGTAGTGTTAAAATGTAAACAAAGACTAACTATATTCATAACAAAGAGCACAAAGAAGAGCAGTGAAAAGCAAAATATTGGAACACACTAAAAATGAAATCTTAACATGCTTTTAACCTATGAAACACAGGAGATATACTGCAGGCAAATAAATAATTCTACCAGTGCATGATAAAGAAAACTGTCCTAAAAAATTGCACTGTTACAGAAAAAAGGTGTTAATTCATTATTGTTATATAATTATCTGAACATAACATCACAATGAAACAACTATTTTACAGTGTGTTAGCAAACATTCTTACTATTGTTGTTTGCACGTGATAAAGCTAGAAAAGCACACGCAAAAATGAATGAAACGAATGTGGTAACAACAAAACGAACTCGACAGTGAACAACGATTGAATATGATGTATTGGTACTCACTTCCTCTTGACTTAACTCGTTCATGGTAATTTTCTTATTTTTCTTTTGATCTTTTTTAACCTTTAACACAACCAACCGCGACTTCACGTTTACTGTATTATAAAAATCCTGTAGAAAAGAGGTGTTCACTGTTCAGAGAATTCTGGACGAGATATGTCAAAAATTTGGACAGTCACTCCACATCTGTTTGCGTTTGGACGTGAAGCCAGCAATTCCACGCTGCGTTACGGATAATCACTGCCAAGCTGCGTCGATTCTTCAAAACAGCTGAGCAACATACATCGGAGCGCTCTCTTTCACCGACAATGCCAACTACTTCGATCAAATTATGTACACACGATAACCTCTCACTTCGATATTGTGCTAAAGTATGGTTAACGAAAAAAACTATTTACACTGATTTTTTCGTGTAATTTTATATCATGTCCCAAAATTAATCATCGTATTGTACTTTTAACATATTTGCATTCATCAAACATTTTTCACAAAACTCAATACCATTAAATACTATTGTTAATTACGGAAACTAATAATTGTTGATTATTTAAAGCTTCGAAAATCGATACAATTAATAATTGTTTCGATACACGTGATATTAATATTCTTATAACGATAATATCACCAAACATTAAGATCTGAAACTTCTACTACTTTGTAGCGTAATATAGAGATTACTTTTATAAATCATTTGAATAATTACATAATCAAATACTGTCATAATGATATTTAACCTTTAATTAATCGTTATATTGTTTTTTAAAGGTGTTTTAAACCTCCATTGCTTTTTGTTTTAGAAACTCCGTTACGTATGCTCCTTTTCGGAAATTTACTTCACTTAGCGTTTCGATTCAAAGGTTAGGTTAAAATGTTCATGAAAGAACTGAAATGTGAATGTTTCAAAGTAAGTTGGATAGTCACGAAACACATTTTTACTGGACAACGATTGAATTTATTATGATAATTTCTCAAAACGATTACATGAAAACGCGGAGGGGCAACACGAAACATAAAGGTACAATACAACATGCACGAGCGTTTTTTCCTTTACTTATGTTCAGTATAGTCTTATTGGTTGCTGCTTTTACAAAACTTTTACGTGTGTGTGTAAGGTCTAGTAAATCAGTGAGGGTATGTTCAGTTCCTTGGAAGAATAGTAACTAAACGTAATTTGACAGTCTAGAGAAATATCTGATCAATAAGGTCATGCCCTCTAGAGTATCTTTCTGCCTTTGTGGTCATATAAAAGGTGAGGAAAAATAAAAAAATAGTAAGAACAAGTAACTGTGATATGATAAATGCATGGAATGAAGAAAATATTGTACTCAATTTTTGTCATACATTCATAAAATATGTGTATATAAAAAAAAAATATTTCATCTAGGGTGAATAACATACTGTACTTCAATAAAAATTAGGAATCGTGAAACTTTCTACTCACTGGGTATGTAGCATGTTGTAAAAAGCGCATGAATATTACCATAAACTATAGAATATGTAGAACAAAACTTAATTAACATGCGCAGAAGGAAACCGTAGTTAGTACTTCTCTCGTGGATGTAAACGTGTGTTGGGTAAAGCGTACTTGATACGTGTATGCATGTAAGTGTTACGTTTACCGTCCGCGGTCTAGGGATTTTGGGATGTGGGTAAGTTAACCCGTGGAGCGCTGAGCGCTCTGCTCGCGGTGTGTAGAAATGATTCGAAACAGATTTAAGATGGAAAACGACTAAGTCCAACTATTTATTCAGATAATTGTCAAAGTACTTTTTATAAGAGCGAACTGGAGCGTATGAAATACAAAATTAGTCTGATCGTTCTGCGCTTGGCGGAGGAGATCTTCGGGTGATGC